TTTTATTTCCGCTGTGCATGTTTAATAAATTCCCAACATATAGAAGTAGAAAATTAACTCTTCCCATGTGTTTTAAGCAGGAAATTGAAGCAGCTTGTGGTCAGCTGCGTACAACAATTGTGGAAGCTCCAAACTAGAAACATCGTTACTTTCTCATATGGTTTGTGCTACTATATAAACCGAATGTCGTATATTCTGGATAATATCTTTATATATTAATTGTTAGGAATAATAATTCCAAATAAGGGAAAAGGGAAAAAAAACAAAAGAATAGAATCAAGAACTTCAAGGAAAATTCAAAGGCTTAAACACGCACTACGTCAAAAATGAGATTTTGCAACACATAAACAGCAACATTTAGTAGTTAAGTGTTGCTAAAGGGTCTATTGCAACATTTTAATAAGTGATTGTTGCTATTGAGTTAATATAATTGTGTTTTGGCAACATTTAATTAATGTGTGTTGCTAATGTCACCTTTCTCAACGTTTTTGAAATGTTGCGAAAAGTTTAACTTCTTGCAACGTTTAATAAACATTGCAAAAAGTTGATCTTTTACAACATTTATTAAAAGTTACAAAAAGGGTCTATATCTTTAGCAACATTTATTAAACGTTGCAATAGATCAACTTTTTGCAACGTTTAATAAATGTTGCAAAAAGTCGCCTTTAGCAACGTTTATTAAACGTTGCTAAAAGTAAGGAGGGTTAGGCTAGCTGGGTTGGGCACTTAGGCTGAATGCATTTAAAAAAATTAGGCCCAATAGATTAGGCCCAATAGAAAAGTGAAACCCTTTTTCCAAATGTCATTTCCTTCCTAAAACGCGCGACTCCTTCTCCGTCTTCGACTTCGACAAAGTGAAGCCTTTTCCCAATTCGTCATTTCCAATTAGAAGCTGAAGCGCGTGACTCCGACAAAGTGAACCCTTTTCCCAATTTTTCAGTTCCAATTAGAAGCTAAAGCGCGCCACTCCGACTCCCATTAATCTGTAACAGAATTAAGGTTTGTTTATGTATGTATTTCATTATGGATTTTTGCATGTTGCTATGTATATTGGATTACGTATTTTACATTTTTACTATATGTTACGAGGCAATCTGGTGAATATTTTAGTTTTCGACAACCCAGTATTGTGCGATTCAGTAGGATTTCATATTTTACTATTGTCTTTGATTATGGAAGTACTGGCACTTGAGTAAATGTTTATGAATGAATGGTGAAGACTTCCAGTGAGAACATTGATTCCATAAGGAAAAAATTGTGTACTTTACCCTGTATGTTAGTGTACAATTTCTCTATTTGAAAACAGTTGAGCTAGAAAGTTTTGATTTCTGTTAACTCCATGTGTGTGTTCTATCTTTGAGAACAATGGATGGTGAAGACTTCCAGCGAGAACAATGGAGATTTGCCTATTTTATTGCATAGTTTCTCTGATACTTTGGTATGTGTATTATGTCAATGTTTAACTGCTGCAATTTGATTTATTAGTTGTATCACTTGCTAGTAAAAAATTTGAGTACCATAAGTGCAGAGATCGATTGAAGATTGTAACGCATCAATTTCTGATACACCCGCCG